TGCAGGGCTTACCTCAGGCTGTGGGCAAAGGCAAATGCATTTACCCCATTTATGAGCCTAATTTATGATGGTAACATATGGTAAGCATTCCATACATGGATGGTCTGGGAATTGAATTCTGTCTGCGAGGTCTTCCGCACAGCCTCTCGAACACTACTTTCCAGTTTGTAAAGAACAACATGATGCAGCAACTATGAGAAGCTATTTGAATCTGGTGTTCAATGGCAGCCTCACAAGTCCGGCAAACATGTATCCTCACTTCCTAGAATTTCCTCAGAGCCTCATTATCCTCATGTTGTGCCAAGCAAAATCGCTGCCAGGGGGCTAGTCAAGCGGCCACTGGCCAATGGCGCCCAGGCCAACACCGTCACACCCAACTCCTGCAGCCAGCGTGCATCAGCGCACGCACCGCGCCGCAACAGCATCTCATCTCTGAGGAAAATGTCCAAACTTGCAGCTCACCCCGACCACCGGTCAATTGCTTGATTTCCCGTTGATTTTTTTGCATCTGATTCCCAGAATGGATCGGCCTCCATCGAGGTATGGTCTGCTGTGGTCACCACTAGAGTTCTGGGCCTCCTTGCATTTGGGAGTATCATCTTCCACTCCCGTTCCTCCCAAACCCTTTGGCAGCTATACCCCCGGCACCTTGCAAACCTTCAGCAGGCCGCTGGTCTCGGGCATCCGTCGAAGCAGGGAGAACTCGATCTCGTTGAAGATCAGCGGCACGCCACGGTCCTTCCTCAGGGCAGGGGTGACTATAGCGGCGGCTGGAACAAGAACAACAATGAAACAACATGTATGGGCACCAAGGGGGCAGGCCTTTCTCAACAGTTCCTAAAGCCGCAAATCTGAGATGACGTGCCATCAAGCTTGAATCCTGCGCATCTCACATCAATCGCAAGTGCTCCGTAGAAACGCAATATTCCCAACGAACCCACCCCCAAATAGCTTATCGAATCCCCAAGCACCCCAGTCATAGGGGACCATGAGTGCAGCTCAACTGCAGCCGCGCATCAGAAGCCCATGCATCTGCCGCAACGCGGCCTCGTCGTAGTTGGAGACCCCGACATTGCGCACCAGCCCTTGGAGAAGAAAAGATCAGACACCCAGGAACATCATGTGGGCGAGTTTAGTTACTAGTAATACAGTATCTCTCTCCATCGCCCTCGTTTTGGCATCTGCTTTCCAAGTTGTCTGCAAGTTTATTGAATTGCTTTCAATATACAGTATAGCACATGTAGCAATTTCTGACCGTGTTAAGATCTCAGCAAGTGCCCCTACTACGGTTTCATTCGGAAGAAGCCCTGGTCTTAGCCCAAGGGACAACAACATGTCTTGCAAAAATCAACAGCTTTTGGGTTCCTCACACTGCCTACTCCCAACAAGCAGAACCCTGAAAACGGAAAGGGCAGCTTACAAAAAATATTCTGTTTGGCCTTGGGTGGATATCAAACATCACCTGCTTTCATCCACCATCACCGACTGAGCAAGTACCTCATCTCCGTTTGGTCCCTGCCTCGCTGGTATGCCACGGCGAGTTGATCGGCAACTGCTTCGGGGCTTCCTGGTGAGGCACTCACAGGTGACGGTTGCATGCTGCCATGTGCGCTTGGGCGCTGAGTGTGTCAAGAGAAAACCTAGGAGGGACTGTGGAAGGGGATGAAAAGAACAACATGTCAAGTCTGATGTGCACCTGAACGCCCACAGCGTTTGCAGGATTTGTGAGGCATTGCAATGCTGTCAGGAAAATAAGTATGAATTGCAACACCTACGAATCGCCCACGAATCATGACAAAGAGACTCTTGTCTGAAGGCAGCTGATCCTTTGGAAGGCCCAAGCCTTTGGATCCCACACAAAGGCTACATAAATCACAACTGATATCAATCCCACCGCCACATCGACCCAGCACATGATAGATTCTGATAGATCATGATATCTGATAGCTCCTGACACTTCAATCAGGATCTACACCAAGATGCCTTTGGGGAAATGGATGAGGAATCCATCCAGTGCGTCCACTTTGCACTTCTCAATGGACCGCTGCCTCAGTCGAAGCACCGTCCGAAGACAACGCCACGGTGCCGGCTTCAGTGCCCAGTCAACTCACGACGCGAAGGCCTCTGGTTTGAAGCGTAATCTCTTTGAATCAATGCATGTAGTTCCAAGTAGATGGTTCATGCACTCCAAACAGACTAAGCAACTCACAGCTTCCCATCATCACTATCCGTCCAACCTCCAAACCAAACAGTCATCTCCGCGCCTGAAATCTGAACATGCCCCATATTGTGTTCACGGTAGACCCAACAAAAAGGAGGAGGTCACCTCCTCGAAGTCTCCCAACTAACCCATCAAGCAACAAAAAAATCCATTCCAAGCCTCCCAGCTGGCTATGACGGCTGTGAGTGGTTCGATTCTCTTTTTCCCTCTTCACCTGCACCTGCATTCACCCTGCACCTGCGAAAACTCCACCAGTTGTCCACCTGCACCGCACCTGCCCTCAAGAAAACATCCGTTCTTCCAACAGGTTGCAGGGTCGGCACCAGGTCAGTGGTGCGGTTCGACAACGCGTCGAACTTGCTGATGACCAACGCCTCCCCATTTGTGGGGGCGTCATGGGGCGTCCCATTTGGCACGGGCACGGTGGAGATCCGAGCTGATTGTCTAATGGCTCCAACAGGCACTTATGTAGGGTTGCGACCCCACAAATACAGTAAAAAGGAATTACACTCAAACGACTCACCACCAAACTAAGAATTCATTCAAAGCAACTTAATGGCAACTGATTGAAATGGGCAAACGCTTCTTGTTGGCTTCATGGCTTCTTCTTGCTGGCAACTTATGGCAAAGCTTCGCCCAGAACTTGGCCCAGTATTTCTTCCCACTGAACTCCCCCGGCAGCGTGATTTCCACCTTCGATCCGCTTGGCGAGCTGGTGCGCAGCTGACCTGGAGATGGGGGTCCACGTGGTCAATCCATTTGACATGACCAACAAAGAACCTGCAGGTCACAGGGTTATCCGTTTTGTTCACTGTTTTTTCTTTGGAAAGCCATATCAATCTAAAACTTGATAAATTCCTAATTAGTAGTGCCTCATTAGTGCCTCAGTGGCTAGCAGGACGTGTCACAAACTGTTTGCATACTAATATAGAGGCCGTAGAAGTATAAGGTAATATTGAGGTATAATGACATGCACCTACAACAAGATGTACTGTGCCAGTTTCGAGTTCATCATGAAACGACGCACATGGCTTGGAGGCAACTCTGGCACCCTCTGAAAAAAACAACAGCAAACTGACGTGGCGAACACTTGTGAAGACCCAAACGCTTTTGGCAACACTCTCTAGTCAACGCGTCCTTTTTTCCCAACTCTAATACCTTCCAACACACTCCAGCCACTGCAAACGCCCAACTCTTCCCACCCAGTCCTATGCAATCCTCCGAAGTGTAGTAGATCTGGGCCGTGTTCAACAAGGTCACACCTGGGCGCTTCACTTCGTGCAACTTGCTGGCGGCTGGAACCGCCAAGGTGGGTGACTGGGTTGCTGGCACTCTGCCCATTTTTTTAATCAGCAAATTTCAGGCAACAATATGGCAATCCCCTGAGTTGCTGGCTGTGCCAAAACTCACGGCTTCCATTAGACATGCTGAATGCTCTTCATTAAACCCTAACACCCACCCGCAAATGTTCAGGGACTCACTGCCTGCAGGGTGACTCCAGCCCAAACTTCGAGCAAGCACGTCCTCCCAACCCATGGACCAAGCGAACATCTTCTGGCCTGATGACAAGGATGTCTCGAAGGCTGCTCGGATGTTGCTTTCATTGTACCTGAGGGCGCTGTTGTTTTAGCGACCTCCAAAAATCTCAACAAGCGGAGGATTCCATGCATCCTATACATTTAAGCAATAGAACAAACAAAAACCTAATCTGAATATGGCTCAAATTAACTACCAACACATCTTTCTCCAAAGAAGTCAAGGCCACTTATACATCCTTTCTTTAATTAGTCTCAATATATGTTTCCGGAACATACTTTCTAGCCCTCCTCGCATCCCTCCCCATCATACCTCCAGTCCTCACCCTCGCTGCGTTGCCGCCGAGTGGCTTCAGTGGGTCGGTACCCCACTTGTTGGTCCCGAGGCCCAGGGGCTGAAAGGTCAAGGTGCCGCAGGTGATCGACGTCGCCATTTGGGAGGACGTCCGTATTTCTCGTCTTTCTTTACAGGGAGCCGAGCGGAACTGCGCGTATCGGGAGCAAGCCGAAGTGGCGGCCGGCAGGTCGATTGATTTGGTAGAGAAGTTGCGGCAGCAAAGAGTGGTCAGCAAATGACGAGACTAATTAGTGGTGACTGGATGTGAACTGGTCATCATGAGGATCAACATGTGGCGCATGGAGCTGATTTGGGCCATGGGTGGAATATGGTGGAATGGTCCAGGTTTGCCTATTAATTCGGGGAATTCATTTCGCACTCCACCAAAAGGCACACACGGTTCACAGCCAAAGGCCCCCAACTGCAAGTGCAAGCAAATCAAAGGGAACCTCTACCTGGACCCCCAGTCGGGGTGGTTGATGGACACCCTCTTGACCTCTTTTCGGGGCTATAAATGGACTCTCTACGTGGTGCTGGTATGTTTTCCGTGCATCTACGGATTCATGGAGCATGATGGGGCATCCGTTTGGAAGCGACCACCTACAGTATGAAAAAGTCGTCTGCCAAACTTGGCCAAATTGCTCAGGCATGTCTTTGGTGAACTCCATGGTGCTTCGACTCCACTTCCGTAGCCGTTACCTACTGCAACTGGTCCACTGGTCCACATGTGTTCACCGTCCTCGTGGCAAATGATATATCACCACATGCACCTACCTCCATGCAGTCTACTTTGAGGGTCTTCCCCACTGTGGTGGTGTTCCAAAATCAAAACCACCGCAGCCCGGTGGCTCTTCTCAAGCATGTCGCTGGCTGGCTGGAAAACGCATTGCATCTGGGTGTCCCGGACGTCGATTTCTCCCAGCATCTCTTTGGTAACGTGGCCGCCACCCAAGTGGGAACCCTTCTCATGCTTGCCCTGGTGGCGGAGCTACTTCTGCGGGGAGAAGTGTTTCTTCAATATTGAGGACAAGTAGGTGACAGTAGGTGAGTTAGGTTCTGAGGTTCTTTTGGGGAAGGGAGAGGACAAGGAGATGAAAGGTCAAACATGGAATATGTTTTTGTTGAACGTTCTTCTGGTCCCTCCTAAAGGCACTAGCCGCCAACAAATATCGGGTTGCAAAAGTCTTCTTCTGCTGCCAGTTCTTTGTGGCGTGTCTCCATGTATCGAAAATGGTTGGGGACGCACCCACATAGTCGTTCTTTTGATTTGCTTGTCCGGCATCGAAGCGCCACAACAGCTCGCCTGCCCTTGGCCGTCCATAATGCACGCATGTCGCAGGGTGTTCAGCGAGTGCTCCGTGTCCTGCAAGAGGACGTGGAGACGGTGAGTCGGGGTGGTCCTGTCCCTTCCCTGCTTGTTTGCACACTGAAGCGCACAAAAGCTAAACAGCCAATGTTCAATACATGAAACAATATAAGTTATTGAAGTACGTCCTCTTCTAAGCCATACAGCAACTCACCCTCCTTTCACCATGGAACAAGATTCTCATGACTCTCTCCAAAAATCCTGCTGGTTCCTTCTGCCTCTGCTGGGTGAGCCAAGCAAAGCACCTTCCAACTCTGCTCCAGTCTCGGGTGGTTCCCCCCCGCATCGCTGCGCCGCTCGAACGCTCTCTCCTTGCTACTGGGTGAGACGGTCGCCACCACGACGGTCTCATGATGTCCGCCTGGTGTGTGTGATTGTCGTGGGCGCGCTTCCGCGCTCCGTGCTGCGCGATTGAAGGAATGGCTCGCTTACAAAGAAGGACATGGGAGATAATGAAGGGGTCACTCTGACTCAAGAAGAACAAGATCAGGAAGAAGAGACACTATAGAAGAGACATATATCTGAAAACCGTTTCTGTTTAAAAGGAAAACCACATAGTTGCAAGATGCTGCAAGTACGACTTATACACATCCTTGGGAAACTCAAGCAGTCGACATCGAGTCGAGTAACTGCTTTCCCGGCAGGGCCAGCATATGTTTCCTCGAAGATGACCCAGCATACAAATATTATGCAATAGAAGAGCCCTTACTACACCCGGGTGCCAGCAGGGCGCTGGCATTAGGCAGGAGGTGGTTCAGCCTGACTCTCACCTCACAGCCCCAAACCTGGCCAGCATCAGCAAAACCCCTTTTTCCTGCGCATGCCCCAAAAACTCTGGTGAAACTGGAGCTGGGCTGCACACGTGCCAGCAGCTTTGGAGAGCGCACTCTGAGAGTGCTCTCAAGTCAGCATGGCTATACTCACAGACTGCATGGTTGGGCTTAGTGCCTCCTTCGGAGCCGCAAAACGACGTCTTGCGGCTTGCGGCTTGCGGCTTGCATCTGCAGGCTTCCAAAACCTCCAGGCACAATGCAGCGGCCAGGCGTGCTCTAACTTGGTCAGAGACATGCAAATATGGCTTGGACAGGTGCCACAGAACTGCTCTCCCAGCCCCTCCGAGTGTTGAGTTCTGCCCTTAAACACTTGTGGAGGCAAAACAGGTGAGTCTGGGTACCATCATTCTGATTGGGTCTAGCTTGGTGGCCTTTTGCGCGCTTAATCTTAAACCTCAACAGGTTGAAGGGCCAACTAAATATACACCAAATAGACCTGCCATGGGCATGGCGAGCCATGCTTAAATCCGCCCAAATGGACCTAATAAACGGGTCCCCTTGCGGTACAGGTTCATCCTCCACGACCCTGTTCCACTCTCCATCTGGCCAACGGTTCTGTATGGTTCCTGGTGCACTTCGTACAACTTAGTGTGTGAGTGATTGCTCCTCACCAGCCAACAGTCTCATGTTCTGCCATGTTCCCGGAACTCATCTTGCTATGTCTCCTATAGGGCCCCGAAGAAATGAAACTCGACTCAGGAAGGGCTGGTCCGAGAGTGCTGTTCCTGCTACGATGAGACCATCACTCAGGCAAATACCTGAAGATGGTCAGCTCGTACTCATCCGCCGCCAACTGTTTGGCCTCCCAGCAAATGGGAGTTCCAAATTTAAAAGAACGATGGAACATGATGGAGCGAATGTGGCCTAGCACACCACCTTGTTGTTGTCTGCTTCTGTGATTTACACAAGGGGAAGACGCAAGGTGAGAAGTGCTGGACTGACATGTTTGACTGACATGTTTTCCAGGAGCACAAGAGAGCCCATAGGGGCAAAGGCCAACGCAGGGCGACATGTTGAAATGCATCCCCTTTGATGAAACAGCCTATTGACAGAACGACCTCCCAACTAGAGACAAGGGATGGATGCGATCGACACAACGACCTTTCAACAATCAACACTCCCCATGCAGAAGGAAAGATTTGATTATAGTGAGTGCTTCATATTATGCAGAAGGAAAGGTTTGGTACGATGGTCGATGTTGTTCGATGGTCTTTGGGAATTCGAGCGCCGCCCCCCGCTCCATCGAAGGAAGTGAAGTCTTGCCAGGAGACGAGCTGTTGGGATGAGAGCTGTTCTCCATTGATCGCCACGATCCTGGGCGCTCAAGGGAGGCGACTGAAAAGGGATGAGAGTTAGTTGCCGTATAAGCCAAAGGATGGAATGCCAAGGGAAGGCTTAAGGATGATAGGCATTGTCCAAGGCGAAAGGATTGAGTTCCTTAGTCAGCTAGGAAATGCTATGACCTTTGGAACTCGTCCTTTCAAAAGACTCAAATACTGATAGCCGCGGATCCACACAATTTTTGAGAGCGCAGTCATTGGCTTTAGCTCCAGCCTCCAGCCCGACAATTTTTAAACCTTCAAGAAGCATCCAACAAGTACCTGCAACATCCAGCAACCTGGCAACCTATAATGTGTAGACTCTTGGATCAATAAATCTTCCACCAATACTAAAAGCTTTCCAAATTGGGATAGGTTTACTAATCAAATCCAAAGTCGAGTCTACATTCAAGTGGTGCTATGTGATGATTGGCTTCTTTAGGCCTTTTGACATCTTTTGACCCAACCGGCCACGGCTCCGATCCCCGGGCGCGATGTAGTCCACATCCTGCGCCTCGTTCAGTTTCCTGGGCCGAACGGGATACCACTTACTATTTGACTTTTAGACTAATAGAGGTTTCCTGTCTTGCATTAGTGAAGAAGACAAATAGCAGTGTGTCGTGCATTTACTTTTTGTACAAGAGTCATTATTTGACTTTTACAGGTTTCCGGTCTTGTTTTAGTGAGGAAAAACTGGAAATTTCCCTGACTGGAACCAAGCCTTGCGTGCAAACCTTACCTCCCTCAAACCTCAGGCTCCTGTGTTGGTTGATTCCCTGAAGAATTGCCAAGCAGCAGGATGGATCCATTGGCATCCACACCTGGAAGTGAGCGAACCCTTCAACATGCAGAGCACCATTGGGCTCCAAAAGAATTCTGTGAAACATTCTTGGCATATCATGGCATCATGGAGGTTCCCTCCAACTCATACGGCAATGCCACATGAAGGCAACGCCGCAGCAAAGGCCACAGCCGTCACGAAGCTGTCACTTGTTGTCTCGTCAAATGGCATTGATCAAACTCTACACAAGACCCCTCCAACACCAACGACACTCTTGGAATTTGCAAGTGAATCTGCTATATGTCCATTCCACTTGGCCCTGTAGTCACTAGATAGTCACTAGTGAATAGCTATGAACTGCATACCACCCCACCCAGCCCAGTCGATTTGCTCGCAAAACTCACGCGCCCGGCCTCGGACCAGAAGTCCTAGGTGGCTCTTGGAAGCGGCCACCGCCAGGCCCAGCTTGGAGCCGTTCCGCTTCACCCGCAACTGGATCACCTCAACGGAGATCGCCGGTTTGGAGGAGGGCAGGGATGTTGGGGCTGGTCGACTGGGAGTGAAGATAGTGAAGTGGAAAGAGATCATATGGTGTTTTTGGCCACGATTTACTCGTAGCTTGCTCCTGTTCCAAGACACTGTGTCTCTCTTCAACATGTCAACGCCACAAACACACAAGCGCGTACACGTGGTCCGTTTGCTCTTGGCTGCCAAGGTACGGTGGGACGTTCCAGGGTGAGCTCCGCCTCAGCGTTTCCAGGAACAGCGCGAGAGACCAGCGACTCTCGTGTGGACCCGCATGGATTGCTTGGTGCCTTTGCTCAGAATTCGATGCACAAGCCCCTTGCGACGATTGTGCTGTTTTTCCAAACAGCACTCTTGGCTCAAAATCCCAAGTGGTGAATAACAAGGGACTGGCAAAAAAAGGCTTGGGGATTTGAACCAAGAGTTCTGAGGATGTGTTTTTTGCGATCGCAAGATTTGGATAAAAACCCGCTGAGTGTGTCCAGGGCCTGAAACCAGCTGACCTATTGCAGGAAGCGTGCAACGTGTCATCTCCAAGGCAAATCACCCACGCGCATGGAAAACCTTCAAACATGCATGCCACCACGTCTTAACCACACTAAATACTGGTAGCTCCACTCAATGCAGTACGTGATTTTGTGATTTTTTGTTTCTCCTCTGCCAGAGCATTAACCTTGATCCCCTCATACAGTAGGTGATCCGCAGCTATATTATATAATTACGAGTACCAACCTGTTCCACCAACCACTAGCCCCCAGCAATGGTGAACAAAAAACCACCAACAACATCCAACCACCTGTAGCCAGCACCTGCGCCGCAAGGTCCCACGTATACCCGTCTAAACGGTCCACTTCCCCCCCGCCGCCTCCGCCCACGGCCCGTGCCCGCCGCGGGCGCGGGCGCCGAGCAGCCGAAGCTTGGGACTCGGAGACCATGGCGATCAACTCCTTGGAAGTGGAGCCCTTTCCCTCGCCGTTCACCAGGCGCAGGCAGTCGTACCTCCCGGGCCGAAGGGCGGAACGGTGGGCGGCATGGGGGGAGCGAATGAGAAACAGGTGGGGGTCATTCATTTGGTTCCCAAACATGATTGACGTATAGACTTTGACTTTGCCGCTGTTCGTGGTCTGAGACCGCCAGCCTTTGATTGACGTATAGAATGCTATATGATACGCCTTGGTCCTCTTCTGGCAGTTTTCATGCTGTTCGGGGGTCCAAGTCTCAGCTTCAAGTCTCGCTCTGGGGGCCTGAACACCCTATCAGTCGCATCATGTCGCATCTAACGAGCAAAGAGTATGGCAGCTTGCCTTGCTCCTAAGGGTCTTTGAGCCCCAACAAGAAGCAGAACCGTTTGTGCAGCTGGGGGAAACCATGAGTGATGATCGTTTGAGGACCCTAGCTTAAACTCTCGTACCCAATGCGAGACAGCAACATGGATTGATTTCAGCTCTGATGGGATGTGTCATCCGGAAACGCTTTGGGAGACTAGTCACTTTGAAT